AGGGGGTAGGGGGGGGGGGGGGGGGGGGGGGAAGGAGAAACAAAATGAAAAGTATGCTAAATGCTACTGCTCTTTGGTACTTGAATTAAAGGGTAATTAAAAAATGTGATGGCTTTCATGCAATCTTCCTTTTCAGGTAAAAGATACCAGTCTTGTTAAGACTTTTTCAGAAAAGTTTTTCTTTGATTCTTTAATTTAACACAGCAGACTGGCAGGATGGACCAGGATGTGCCATCCCATTTCTTGTCCCACAGATGCAGCTCTCTTGGATGCTGACTTACATCCCTGTCCTAGTTCAGCCTTGGTTTGCTGCTCATGAATTTTGCCCTTAGCTTGCATTTTTCCTTCCCAAATTAAAGATCACATAAGTCGTCAGAAACAAAGTAGGCTATGGGAGATACTATCAGTTGAAGAGGCGAGAGGGAGGCAGCAGGAAGCCAAAATGAAGATGTTGGTGAGAGCAGCCTCTGGAAGAAAATGGCATGAGATGGAGACGATGGAGGAGGAAGGGGCAGTATGGATTTGTGTGCATCTGCTTGGGCTTTCCCGTAGTGACCTTGCTGGAGCATCACTGGTGTAACTACCTGCTGATGTTGGTGCTCCTGAGATTAATGTTCATGGAATTTGGGGGTGAAAAGTTAGCTGTTTATTAGTATATTTAAACCTCCCCAAAGCAGGTGGTTAAACATGGCTGACTAATTATTTTTCTTGTTTAATTATTTCCTGCTCTTGTAATACGATTTCCCAATTATGTTCTTGTCTTATTTACCAGCTGCAGTTTTAATACAGTCCTTGGATTGTACCAGTGACCCTTTTACTTGGCCTACCTCCTTCTTTCTGTCCTGTTTTCCATCAGCTGTCATTGCTACAAAATAGCGCAACATTTTCTGAACTTCCACCCACTTTTTAACAGTTGAGTTCAGGGTTGGGTTAGGCTTGCTGGATCACGTTTGCACAGGGCCAGGAAGAGTCTTTTTTTTTTTTTTTTTTTTTCCTTCCTAGAAACATGGGGCTATTTATTTTTAAAACAGACACAAAATTAATTTGGAGGAAGAAAACTTTCTACTTGGAGTTAGTCAGGGCCTCGTACAGCAGCAGAGATGGGTTTGCCACAGGCACTTTCAGATGATGTCATCTAGCAACTTTCTGTATTTTCAGCTCCGGAAGTTACTTCCTTGCTCACATTTGTTGTCTGCATGTTTTCCCTCCTCCTGACCACCTACTTCTCACATCAGTCTCACTGGAGCTGCACTGCAGCTTCTCATTTCTTTCCTTCCTCTTCTGTAGCCCCTTTTCCTTTCTTTGTCTTTGTGGTTGGCGAGTTGCATTTTACACTTAGCCAAAAGGGACCACAATAGAAGCTAAAACTTTGTTAGATGAAATTCTTAGGTTTTTAGTACTTAAAAAAATTAAAAAAATTCAGTGGGAGGCTAAAAGGCCCTGCCTGCATGTCATCCCTGCCTGCGTGAGATGGAGACTGAAGGAGAGAATCCACCAAGTAAATTATGTGCACATACAATAGTCATGCTGTTTTGTGCTCACGCTATACTCTTAAAGCTGCATCTGTCGCTCAGCAGCTGGTGGTAACTTCTTGCAGGTAAATCTGTTACTGCAGGACATTATTGAAGTTCTGATGTTTTCCAGAATACTTGAAGTACATTGAATTACCAAGTTAGCTGTCATGGGTAAATTTAATTCTGTGTTTCCAAACAGCTGAGTGTTTGGATATTTATCCTAAACTTTTAATACTACTAAAGGGGTTAAAAAAAAAAAAAAGCAAGAAACATGAAATATCCAGGTTTTTTCCCTACAAGAATGAATTAAAATAAAATCTACAGCACACAGAACTGTATTGGCTACCAGTTTGGTAATCAGGAGGGTCAGGACACCAATATTATTTTATCATCTGAGCTAATTGGCTGAAAGACTAGGTGATTGTTTATGGATCAGCTTCAGAGTTGAATTTATCTCTTCCATGAAGTAAATTTTTACCCCTTTCTGGTCAGAAACATCATGCATTCTTTTGATGCTCTCTTACAAGTTGTAGAGGTCTCCTTGCTTTAATGTTTACAGACCCTATTCCCTGTCTGTTGTCTTTTTGTTTCTTGTGTGCCTCAACCTCACCAAATCTTTCGATTCAGGCTTTTTTTTCTTAGGTTTCCATGCTAGAGTCTTGTTTCTAATAGCTGGCACAGAGTGGTACTAGGTGGAAAAGGTATACAGAAGAGCAGATTCATAGCTCTGCTTTAGAAAAAAACCACCAAACAAAACCCAAACTGATTTTGCTAGTTAAAGTCTTGAACTTAAGCCAAATTTGAATCTTCCCTGTGAATAGAGACCAACTTGCGGAACTCAGGATGGTGCATCATTGCTTCCCACAAATTCAATGTGATGTGAAAACATTAAAGCTTTTAAGTGGAGTATATCCCTGTACCTTAGACATCAGCTGTGAAAAACCTTGATCTAGATGTGTAACTTGGCGAAGTTATAAACACCTAAACATGGGGTCAGAAAATACTGAATAAACTTTTTTTCAGATGGTTGAAGCCTGGGAACTCTGCAATAGGAATTTCTCCATTTCCCACTACCTGTGATTTTGTTTTGCTTGCTGCTTCTACTGATGTCATAGCAAGATATGTTCAGTTAACATACCCTTCTCTTAAGCGCTCTATGAATGCTCGAAAACTTAAAAGTCTCATGACAAATTGTAACATACAAGCCTGGGTTGGACCTTCTGTTATACATGTAGTAGCAGTATAAAAAAAAATCCTGGATGATGTGAAGACAAAGGTGAGATCAGGTTATAATCTCAGTTCCATATTGAGAAACTTTAATGGTTGAACATGTGGTGCCTTCTATGTTATTTTCAAATTTTTTGTATAACAGCAGTGGGGACAATAAGAAAAATCCCAAATACTACAAGGCTGACAGTAAAATCAAGAAGTTAAGAACAGCATTGCAGTAAGAAGTGCTGAAACTGGTTTTTCCAACCTTTGGCTATAGTCTCTAAGCTAATCTTTGCAGAAGAGGAGGAAGGAATGAGGGCAAAGCTATTACGCAGTGATAAGGTTTTCCACTTATCAAGCCGATGGTGACTTGTGAATGATGTACATAAAATAACTATGTTTTTTTCATCTGGACCCTACAGTGACATCTAATACAGTCTGTTACTGGAGCAGCTTACATCTGCATAGTCAAGAGTTCAGTTTTGGTTTTGTGCTGCAGTAGCATCAGCAAATGTGTGAGAGCGTGAGCTCGTGTTTATACTTTTCCTATGTAAATAGCAGAGTGAGCTATGGACTGAGACATAGGGACAGATCTGAAAATAGAAGGGGGGGGGAGAAAAAAAAAATTAGGTAAAGGTTAGAAGAGAAAATGGTGGCAGCTGTGCCAGGGCATTGTTGGCATTGTGACTCTCAATGAGAAAAGGCAGGGCATGCTGGTTTAAGCCAAGTTTTCTGCATCATCAGTCCCAATAGAAAACACTTTTCATGATAATGTAAGCAGAAGGGCTAAGGTGCCTTAAGTTCCATAGCACTGATCACAAAACAGAAGCTTACACACAAGCATTTTTCTGTAAATTCACGATTTAACTTAGGCTTAGGCCATGGTTTGTATGCTTACGTTACCAGCTCATGGGTAGTAGGCTTTTATTTTGTGACAAGTGCTGTGTAATTCAAGGTGCCTTACCCCTTCATGAAGGCTTCAGGACTCATGCAGTAGCGAGTTGCTATATATAACTTGGTTCATATAATTCCTCACTGCTTTGGATACCATGCTATCAAGATGCTATTTTTGGTTTCATACTTATTTTTCTATAGGGTGGTAATGATTCATCCTGCATCAATAATCTGTTTTTTGAACTCTCTTTAATAAAAGATCCTCAATGCTTAAAGTGTTTTTCTTCAGTGTGCAAAAAATGTTTAATTCATTCACTGATTTTATCATTTCTGTTTATAGGAGAGGTCTCCTCACAATTTACATGGCCAATCAAGTAAGTAGTCCTCTATTTCAAGAATAAAAATATGTAAGTGCCATTGGGAATGTATCTTATTTCATTGCCTTTTTAAAGCTTCCAGGATTTTTCTTTTCTTTAAGAATTATGTGTTATTAGGTAAATAAAATTATCTTAAGAGCAAATTGTGACTAAAGGTCTTCTGGAAGTAGCTGTAAAGCAGAGGCTGAAAAGTATTTCATTGTGCTATGCTGAAAACTTCTTGTATCATAGCCCCAGGAAAATGAGTAGTTTTATAGATCTCCTCCATAGTAGAATGGCATCTGGTACTTTTAATGTTCATTATTTTGCAGATGAATAATCCAACACCATATACTTTAGTTTTGTAATTAATTATTTCTCAAACTGATATCAAATATTGCACATGCAAACATGTTACATGATCATACTCCTTTAGAACTGATTTTATTATGCCAAAAGAATTATCTGAGGTTTTTATAAAGTTTGAGTTGTGTAAAGAGTCAGGGAAACTACAGAAAATGGAAACAACCTAAAAGATGTTTTTCAGATTCCTGTAAGAATTTGCTGGGGTCTCAGTAGAGTCATGCAAGTGTAGAACTCTCTGATGACGATGATGAAAAGATTCGTGAGTAAAAGTGATGAGACAAAGACAGTGTATTGCAGTACAGACTAGGGTGATAAAATTGATACCTTCTCTTCCATCCTTGTAAAGTCATTGATTGTGACTCTTGTAACTCTGAAGATTTTGGGAGGGAGGTGACATCATATGTTCGCTAGCAGGTAAATATCCTGGAAACTCTCAGTATGCATTTGCCAAACCCATTACAGACTTCTCTTTCAAATTCTAGTGTTTAACAAGTTATTCTGTATTCATAGACTGCCTGTCATTACAGACTCACTTGTGAGTGGAGCTTACAGACTTCAGAAGAGAAGAAATTAATTCTTGCCATTAATTTTGTTATTGTCAAGGACCACTTTAATTTTTATAGTTGCTTGACTTGAGTCCTTTAGGATTCCTTTTCTTTGTAAAGCTTTATTCCTAACTTGTAGAAAGATGAAAAATCCTTTTCTTGAAATTTAATTAATTAGATGTTCAGACCCTCAATAACATGTGGGAACAAAGTTGGATTCCTACAAGGATATGTTAACCTTGAAAGGTTTGAAGTTTTCCTTGAATTCATTGAATTCATTTCCTTGAATGCATAGAAACTCCATGTTCAGGAAACATAGGTTATAAAAATGGTGATAATTAGTTGGGCATGTCATCATTCATTTGGGATGGACTTTTCAAGAGAAGGGTGAAATAGGTGTGCTTAAATAGCAATACCTCTGAGTATCCGAGTTCTGAGAAAGCTGTCATCATGTTCATGGCTCTTAAGCTGCGATGCCACACAGTTCACATGATGTTGGACGGTGTTAAGGGAAAAGTTAACTGATACAGTTACATTTTATTGACGCCATTCGAGGCAGTGGATATTCTCTTCAGCATAATAGTTTATTTTGGTCACAAATCTTTGGTGAACTCGGGGCTACCAGGGTTTGCTTCATAAACTGCCTTTGGTCATGACATACTTATCTTGTTAGCAAGCTGTGTAATCACGGTAGATGTTTCCCTATTTGTGTTGCTTGACTTTGGTTTAGAACTTTATATGCTTTGATAAGTTTCACTTAGAAGCCTTGAAAACATTTATTTCTGTCATCTTTGGATTGCAGCATGCCCCATTCTGAAAGCTGGCAAATTTTAATCATTAGTGATGGCAGCTAGATTGTAAAATTACACTGCGTTTCTTGCGTTCTGTAAAACTAGTGTCAGGACCTATTAAGATATTAATTGAACTAAAAGTATTCCTTTGTTTCACATTTTGCTGAACTATGTTTTGCAGCCTGAGCAATAATAATTGAGGCTTTTTGTGTGATTCTTCATGTGTACCTTTGCCCGGTTAGACGAAGAGGAGGTAATTGTAATTAGGTTTATTGGTTATAATAAGCAATTATCATGACTGTTGCTGCAGTGAATTTTTATAACCTTATTAGGGCTTTTAGATCAGAAAATTTTACTATTATTGTCCTGTCGGCAATGCGTGACAGTTTGTCCTCAGAGATGAGTTTACTTAGTGAAAAGGGGTAGGGTGGGTTAAAGTCTTTATGCATGGCTGCTGTTTCTCATTTCAGTGAGTGAAAGGCAGTGGGTCTAAGGACTCTTATTCTAAAGGTGATATTTTTATTGATTTCTAAGCTGGAGCTACTAGAAACAGATGAATAAGTGTCCTGGCTAATTTTAAATAAATCAGTGATTATAGATTTATGTGACCCTGAACTTCCCAGTTGCATTTCCTTGCTGCTTACACAATAAAATGACATATTAAAAATAAGCTGTTTAGGTTATATATGTTCTATGGAAAAATTGAATAAAATTGCTTGCTTAGACTAGCTTTCTGCTGAACTGAAACTATATAGCAATGCGCTTCATGGCTTGGATTTTTTTTTTTTATAAGAACTAGAAATAAGTATGGGAGTGAAGGATCTGTAGTTTTAATTTTGATATTCAGAGTCTAAAATCAACTTCTGAGCTTCTCACTGGAGGTCAGTCTTTAGAAGTAAATTAATATGCCTGAGCCCTAACATTGTTGAACACATGGGTTTGGAGATTTTTAACTAGTTACAGTCTGAGACCTGATGTTTCTGTAATGCCCCGGAGCAGAGTAGCAGTAGTCAGTGCTGTGGACCACACAGAAGCATGGAGCCTTTCAAGTTCTATTTTGGATTGCACATGTTAAAGTCAAGAAATTTCTAGAATCGTAAGAGATGCATTGGTAGTGAACATATAAGATGATCCTTCACGGATAATTTGAGATCAAAAGGAACCCCAAGATTCCAACAAAAGGTGGAAAGTGAAATGTAATCTCTTCAGTTATTTTTATCTGGAAAAGTAGATGATACTAATGACTGCCCACGAGTAAGATGTATAGCTCTTATGTTTCAAAACAGTTAATGGCATTCTTCATTGTGAACAGCTCAACAGTTGAGTTGTTGCTTTTAAGTTGAAGAAACCATGTCTTTGGATTAGGAATTTTTTTTTTGTGTTGTAAACAAAACAAACAATGGCTGCTTTCAATATGCAAGATAGGAAGAGACTAACCTGGATTAGGGTGAATTTGACGTAAAACTTTTGAGAAACAAAAATTTAGGAAAACTGCTATGTTGTCATTGAACTGCTACACTAAAGAGGCAGTTATCCTAGCATATGCTGAACTACAAAATGCGGGTTTTTTTTCCTTTATCAGAAAAAAATGGAAGTTTCTTCACGTGCAGTGTTTGAAATTCAAACTATGCATCACTATATCAAAGGCTTTCTTCATTTTGAACTATGGCTTCTAACGTATGGTGTTGTACTTACAAAATTGGAAATGTTAATGGTCATCGGTTAAATGATGTAAAGCTCAAGTATAAGATAAGACTGCTGGATGCAAAAGGTGGAGTGATGCCATTGAGGACTGGTTCTTGAGTGTGATGGGAGGAAGAGGTGTAGGAATCTGGCCCAGCCATAGAGAGAGCATTAGGGAGTGGAAAGGTATAAATTTGAAAAATAAGACAAAAAAGGTAGGAAGAAAAGGAGACAGAGATGTACAATCTAAAGATGAGAAATGAGAATTTATTATGGCAAGAGACATGAAGGTACTGGAGCTGGGCTGATGTAATGGGAATTGGTTTGTGGGAGTGTTGTAGGTGTAATGAGTGGAAGAAAGATGAGAAAATGTAGAGTCTATTCTAGCTAAAGCAAAGAACAGATGATGTTGTGATAGGTTTGCCGGGAAAGGAAAGGATGAATTTTGTGGCAGTTAATATGAAGGGAAATTTAGCAAGAGCCCAGAAAGAGAGGCAGAGAGAGAGAGGGTATTATTGAAGTCCTGGATATGGGAGTTGGAGAAATTGTTGTCAGCAATTGCATCTGGATAAAGTTTATACAGAAATATGAAGATCTCGTGTTTTATTTATCGCTCTGCTGATGTTAGGTCGTCAGTGCATCTGCCATTTATGAAGTATTGTACATGGGTCCTCATGTATGGGAGGAAGGGTACATCTTCCCAGATGCAGTGCAACGCAGTGATCATACATTAAAGACTGGTGATAATGAAGAGAAATGCTGAGAGGACAGTCAAAAGTGTAAAAAGAGTGCAAAATAAGGGAAGAACTTCAAAATTTTGTACAGCCAAGCTTGTGACATTTTTGGGAAAACCTCAGAGAGCTGCTGTGACCATGTTCGCTTTAACAGCCTGCTGCTGAAGCTGAGAGCCTGCTTACCTCCTTGCTGTTCCTTTCAGACATACCAACTCCTTCCCTGTGACTGCTATTTCAGAAATACTTTTTTCATTTGTTTTTCAAGTCCAATTAAGAAGTGGTTAAAGCTACCAAGAAATACTGCTCACATTAAACAAATACTGAACCGAACAAGTTGATCAAAGGCATTCCAGTGGGTGATGCTCTGCTTCTGTATATGATAGCGAACAAGTGATACAGCTGAGCGCAAAGTTTCTTGCAGTTTTAAAATAGTTCAAGCAGTTTCACAGTTGAATTGTTTTTCAGTTGCATAAATAGACTAAATATGGGTTCATTTTGGCTGTATCTTTGTTTACTCCAACCAGTCAGTGTGAAGGCTGCATGGGAGTTGTGCTCTTAAAGCTTGAAATACTCAGTCTAGGAGCATGCAAAAATGCTGAAGCACAGACTTAAAAAGAAATCCCTCAGTTCTAAAGGAAAAATGAGTATCCAGTGCTCTTCAATCAGCTCTAACTCCAGATATTTGTGTCGTTTTTTTACAGGGTGGAAGTCATAGTGATTCAAAATATACTAAATCTTCATGCTTTGCAATATTTTTAAAAAATCAAAGCCATTAGCCTAATTTAAGATATATGGCACATGCAGGCAGCAAAGTAGATACCAATCTTGACAGAGATAGGGCACATTATAAAACATGGTTCAATTGTTTGAGGCCAAGGGCCCTCCAATATCACTTTCCA